CAGCTGGGTAATTTAAGAAAATTGTTTTCTTTAAAAAACCTGGGTTTTACAACTCGAATGCATGTGTTTTCAAACTATTGTCTTGCTACTGACCTTAAAAATTATTTTTAAAACTAAAAGATAAATGTGAATGCTTTGTTCTACGTGAATCATCTCTTCTTTCTCTGATGGAATAAACCCCCAAACTGGACTTATGGCATAGTCTCAACAGAGAGGCTGTGAATGAGGAGTAGGGGAGTAATGGAGGTTGAGGATGAGTTACAAAGATTTGAATGGTGGTCCTGTTGATTCTACTCTGTTTTAGTTTTTTTCTACTTTGTATTTCTCAATGAAGTTAGGAAGAAGGTCAGAATCTTGATTTCTGCTTTTCAAAAGACAGGTGCGTGAAACTTTGATGTTCTTCCCTTATTCCAAGTTCCCCTGAATGGTGGAAGACAAAGCTAGATCATTAGTTAGGGCCCAACTCCTCTCCTGGAAAGGAATTGCCTGAGAAAACAGAAATTTATAGGTCTACTTATGTCCTTTCAGTGTACAGAACATGGGATAAACCATTAAAGTCTCTTTGAACCTTCTTTTGTTGTGCCTGCCTTGTGTTTTAGAGAGACCCATATTCGGGGAATGCCTTTTTGCCCGGTGAGAGCTCCAGCGAGGATGAAGAGCCTTTAGAAGAATTGTCGAAGGAGCAATTGTGCACAAAAATAAAAAGCCTGAAACAAAAACTAACAAACACCCGGAAAGAGAACAGCCGACTTCGACAGTCCTTGGTCATGCTTCAAGGTAAACTTTGAGAAAATTGACATTTTTAGATGAAAAAGAAAATACATGATGAGTGAAAAGTATTGCAAATAGGCTGTTAAGAATGAAAAAGAAAATCAGAACCTTAGAGAAAAAATCAAAAATCACATTTTAAGAAAATCTATGATTATATAATTTAATACGGTAGCAATCTATTGAAGCCTCTAGTCTATTGCTTAGAAAATTTTAGATTATTTCTACAAAATACTAAATATTGTGTCCATTTAATAATGTTCAATGGACATTTATTGAGCATTTAATATAGATCATTCATTGGTAGGCCCTGGAGAGAAAAAATTAGTAAAACAAAAAAGGTATTCCTGATATACTTATCTCAATACCCTCTGCTATGGAAAGCACTAGAAAAATGGGACCTGTTGTAATCCATTATAGAACCACTAGAATTAAAGCGTGCGTATATTAAATTTTAGTTTTGGGGTTGGGAGGCATGGTTTGGGATAATAATCATTTTACTGAGGATTTAGAAAGGAGAAAGGTCAGCCTAAGCTAATTAAAAACCACTTGGCATAATGCCTTTTTATAGGACCCTATATTGTATTTAAGTGTTTATTTTTCAAAAATAATGTTTTCCATCTGCAGTTAAACACCATGCACTATTTTATACAGCTGTATATTTGGCAATTATGTCCTATGTTGGGTAACATTGTGTTGTAAACAGTAAATACACAGAACATTTGAAATAAATCCTCCTGGCTGCTGTGTACAGAATGAGGATATGTGACACAAGAAGGAAAGTGAAAAAGGATATAAAAGGTATTGCAGTCATCCAGACTAGCATGATGGCAGCCTAGCCTAGGGCAATGGCAATGGAAATAATCATAACAGTTCTATGATATTTTTGGAGGCAGAAATCATAGTAGGCAGATAGAACATGGTGATAAGCGAGGTGACAGAGTAATGGCTCACATATTTTCCTTGGAATATTTATTAAATTGAAGCCTTTGTTGTTTTAAGTAGAAATGGCCCCACATGTAAATGGAAATAAGATGTTTATAACAAGCCATTATCTCTTTATTTTTTCAACTTTATTGCATTTTTGCTTTCTCTGGTGAGATTTTTGTCATTTTTTTAAAAAACTAGATAATTCTCATTTTTATGTAATCTGTTCCAGAACTTAGAATAAGATGAAAGTTAGTTTATAAAGTTAGCATAAATTGCTGGTTAAAAGAATTGGTTTCGGAGTTACAGAACTTGCTTCAAATCCCAACTCTGCTAACTAGCTGTACAACTTTGACCATGTCACTTTATTACACCCTCAGCCCCAGCTTCAATTTTTTTCACTTTTAAAATGAGAGCAATATATCATTTCCTTGTTGTTATGAGGATTAAATGAGATAATTGGAAGATATTACCAGTGCCTGGTACATGACAGGTCCTCAGTAACGGTAGTTATTTTGACTGTCTCTGTTTTTATTGACACCAGAACTTGACATATAATGCCTACCACAAAATTATAGACCAATTTTTGTTATAAATATGGATGAGAAAATTCTAAATGAAAGAGCAGCAAATCAGTTTCAGTAGTATGTAAAAAGAATCACTTGCGATGACCAATTTCTTCTCTCACACACTCTTAGATTGCCATTTCATTTTCTCCTCTTCTGCCAGCTTCCCACACCTCCTCCCTTATCCTCACTTTCACTTGATGACTTTGCTTCCTACTTCAGAGAAATTGGAAGATATGAAGAGGCAGTCATCTCCCTGCACCTGGGTTTTTATGCTCCACTTTCTCCCCTGTCACTCACGAATGACCTATTCTTTTGTCCAGCCAAAGGACAAGAGAGGAGAGAATCTCTCTCTCTGCCTCAGATCCCATCTTCTTTCACTTAATCAAGGACATAGTTCCAGAGATTCTCCCCCTTCTTTCCTGCACGATCAAGTTTTCTTTCTCTAATGAATCATTCCTTTTAGCATCAGACATATATTATTTCTCCTATTTTTTTTTTTAAAAAAAGTCTTTCAGGCCATTTCCTTCTCCACCTTCCACCCTATTCCTCTCTTTCTCTTTATAAGAAAACTCCTCAAATTAGTTGACTCCACACGATGTGTTCAGTTTTTCCCCTTTTATTCTCTCCGGGTCTCACTTCAATTAGGTCCTTATCATTTCATCGTAACTTCTCATGATCACCAATAACCTCTGTGTATTAGTTTGCTAGGGCTGCAGTGACAAAGTACCACAAACTGGGTAGCTTAAACAGCAGAAATATATTGTCTCACAGTTCTAGAGGCTAGGATTCCAAAATCAAGGTTTCAGCAGGGCTGTGCTCCCTCCGAGGGTGTGAGGGAATAATCTATTCAGGCCTCTCTCCAAGCTTCTGGTTGTTCTGTGGCTTGAGGCAACACAATGCCAGTCTTCGCATGGTGTCCTCCTGTATGCTCGTCTCTCTCTGTGTCCAAATTTTCCCATTTTTATAAGGAGTCCAGTCATATTGGATTAGGACCTACTTAATGACCTCATTTTAACTTGATTACATCAGTAAAGACCCTATCTCCAAAAAAGGTCCCATTCTGAGGTCCTGGGAGTTAGGACTCCAACATATTCTTTTAGGGGGACACAGTTCAACCCGTAACATTCCATACTGCTAGCCCCAAAGTCATTTCTCAATGGTTATCCCTACTGCCCTGTTACCAGCATTTGATACATTTGACCATCTACCATTCTTTGAAAAAGTTTCTTTATTTGTCTTCTAGGACACTACATTCACTAGTTTTCTTCCTATACTGCTAATCTTCCCATCTCAGTCTATTTAGCTGATTCATTTCAGCATCTTACCCTCCAAATATTTAATGATGCCCCAGGCTCAGTCCACCATTGATCCTTTCCAATCATATGGTATTAAAATCCATCAATAAACTATGATTCTGAGGTTTAAATCTCTGACTTGGACTTCTCTCTTTAATTCCAGACTAGTTGTCCAACTATGTACTTGACATGGCTCATAGGCATCTCAAAATATCATGTCCCAAACCACATTCCTGACCTTTCCCTTCAACCTGTTTCTCTCATTATTTTTCATCTTGGTTAATTCTAACTATATTGTTCCAGTTTCTCAAGCCAAAAACCACGACATTATTTTGTATTTTTATATTTCTTTTATACTCTAAGTCTATTGGCGAGTCCTACTGACTTTATGTTCAAAACGTTTTTGGAATACAATCTCTTTTACTATGATGACTACTGCCCCTCTGGTCTAAGCTACCATTATCTCTTGTCTAGATTATTAAGACGACTTCTTAACTGGTGTCACTACTTCTGCTCTTGCTCCTCTGCAATCTGTTCTCAACACAGGAGCAAAAATGGTCCTATTAGACATAAGTCAATTAATGTCACTCTTCTCTTCAAAAGTCTTCAGTGTATTTCCACCTCACTGAGGGAAAAACTAATGTTATTTTTATGATCTTTGAGTCCTTACATCATCTGACCAGCTCTCTGCCACTTACTTCTCTGGCCTTATGTTCCACTACTCTCCCCCTTCTTTTCTGTGATCCAGCCACATTGGGCCACTTGTTTATCTTTGAAGACATCAGACATAATCTTACTTCAGTGTCTTTGTACTGGCCATTCCTTCAGCCTAGAATGTTCTTCCCCCAGATAACGTGGTTTGCACCCTCACTTACTTCAGGTCTTCACTCTAAATTCATCTTTTTCCTGACCTCCTCCCTCCATAAATTTCAAACTCTCTCCTTTCAATGTTTTTTTTTTACTCCCTTCCCCTTAGTTGTAAGTTGGAACTTACAACTCTATGTAATCTATTAAGTATTTAATATTGTCTGCCCCCCTCCATACTCACACACTAAAATGTACCCCTAGAAACCAAATAATAAAAGTGTCTATTAGCTGGACTTCAGGCAACAGGAAAAGTCAGAAACTGCCACGGCAGTATTCATGCATGCATTTATTCATTCAGTAAATATTTATAAAGTCCTACTATATGTCAGGCACTGTTCTAAGTACCTAGGAAAATCCAGTGAACACGACAAAGATCCTTGCTCTCATGGAGATTACATTCTAGTGGGGTGAGACAGTCAAAAAACCTGAACAATAATAATTAAGTAAATTATATAAAATGTTAGCTGGTGATAAATGCTATGGAAAAAATAAGGCAGATAAAGGAACATTGAGATTTGATGGAGAGGAGGTGTTTTACAATTTTAAATAACATAGTCGTAGTAAGCTTCCTTGTGAAGCTGCAGTTGAGAACTTGAAAGATACCAGAAAGCTGAAATTCAATGGATAATCCAAATAAGAAAAGGGTCTGAGAGAAGAGTGTGGTATAGTTATTTATCTCTTGCTCAGTAATGTTCCTAATTACTCTTTGAACTAAAGATTAGAACTGTCTCTCTGTTTATAAAGCCTACTTAACTAAGAAAAATAGCAGAATATATATGCCATTCGAGACATTCAGAATAACAAATATGTGTGTGCTAAATATGTATGTGTTAAGCATTTGAAATATTTCTTGTGGCCCACAACTGTCTGGCACAATAACATGTAAAAGAAAAACAGTGATATATCTATTGTATAGAAAAATATTTAATTGTCATTATTTATATAGAGAATGAATGTATACCTAGGGAAAAAAAAGCATCAACTAAAAGCTTAACTTTTGTAACTAATGAGATTTTAGTAAAGAATCAAAAATCAATTCCATTTTGCCCAAGTCATTTAAATATGCAGAAAGCCTAAGTTAAATATGTGTGAACCTCCCTCCTTTCTTGAAACCTCACCAAAAATAAATTTAAAATGCATAAAAGCACAGGACCAAGGACCAAGAAAAGATCACAGCAGATCAAAGATGCCAATAAAATTTTAGAAGATGAAAAGCAGATGGATGAATGGTGACTGACTAAATCTAGAGAAATCTAAAAGCTCAGTGTCTGTGATGGGGGTGGGTACAGGATAGAGGGAGACAAATTAAAAAGAAACAAGCCAGGGCACTCTGCAACCGCCACTGAGCAGA